GAGAGAGAGAGAGAGAGAGAGAGAGAGAGAGAGAGAGAGAGAAAGTGGTTGGCAAATCTGAAACTCAAGTTTCTGACCTTCTTTACATAATGTATTCCCGAATAAACGTTTCATACATAAGAAAATCATTATGTCTAAACATGTTTCACAAAACCATATACAAAGAAATGTATTGTGTGTATTTTTTTAATTGCGATTTAATGAACATTCCAATTACACAATTTGAAATTGAACGATACGTTAACAGAAAAACTACAATTATTAGAAAATAGAATCAAATAATCGTAATAAGTTATCCCTAACTAATTCTATAACTATTATCATCCATTTTCTTTTTAAAAGTTAAATATTAAATATTTCCTCAACATATTTTAAAATTCTCCTATTTTTTTTTTCAATCCCTTCGATTGTATTCTACTTAATTATAAAAACAAATATTAAATCTTTTTAAACAATCATCTTACAAACACAAAGATCAGTTACTGATTTTTAATTTCACCAAACAAAATTGCACAGGATTCCATACGATCCAATGCACAATCAACGACTGGCTCTACTTACGAAAAGACTAATTAATCTAAAGACTAATAAATAATTACATAACTTAAATAAATTTCAACCACGTATTTCACTTTTCTCCCATCTTTTCCCAATCTTCCCTCCCTTCCTCTCTCTCAAAAGGAAAAGGAATACGGATTAAAAAGGAATAAATACACAGAGGCAAAATATTGGACTTACCCGCCGCCAACTAGTAACCAGAGACTGGTCGGTGAAATGTCGGATGCGACCTCCGTTTTAATCAGTACGAATCCGAGTTATTAAAATTCCTGCAGAATTTTCGCGGTTGAATAGAACGGGCGCAGTCGAGGAGCGGCGCGAAGGCCAGGAAGCAGCAATGTCTGAAAGAAAAAGAAATTCATTCATTCCAGTGGACGAAATATATATATATATATACATACATATATAAAGTGAAAGATTGGCCGCGTCGAACAAGAATATCGGGAAACTAAAAAAAAAAAAAAAAAAAAAGTTAATTTATTCAATAGTGAAGGAGCATGAAGACACGAGAAGAAGAGTACTGCACCCTAAGAGACGAGGCCGTGAAACGAGGAAGAACAGAGAGTGGAACACCGACTCGAGGAAGGCCGACTGAGCAAGGACTTTCGTTAGGGTCTCGAGCAGGGGGGGCGGAGAGGGTGGTGGTGGTGGTTTCAACGGAGAGGAGAGAGAGGATACCGATGATGAAGGGGGTGAAGGGACTTTGGAGTCAAACGAAAGCCTCAGGCAGTTTTTCCACCGGTTCTCCAACTCTTGAGTTTCTCGCAAGTTTTTTCTTTCTGATTTTTCTAATTAATTATCGGTATTGATTGGTTCTCGATTTGACTGCGGAACGCCTTTGGCTACAGAGAGAGGAGATGGAAATGACCGCATAGAATAACCGTAAAAGAGAGGAGAAGCCAAGCGAATTAACTGTCCATAATTTGCCCGGGAGTCGTGATTAAAGAGTGGCTCTACACCGAAAAGCCAACCGAACGATTTTTTTCGATATCTATTCTTTATCTCCTCTTCTTGTGAGAAGAGGACTACCTCACCTTTCTCTGTGAAAGCCAAAGCGACTCGCACGATTATTCCATTTCCCTATTGTGATCAATACAATTCTACGAAATGTAGAAAGTAATTTATAAACTAGTTACGTACGTTATTCAGGTATATGCTCTGCTTACAGATACAAGTTCGAAATGTTTACACGAAGTAATCAATTACGTTAGAATTTGTAAGAAGCGATTTTATGTTGTACATACTGAAATTCCCGTTGTTTCCTTTTTAAATTAACTCAAGAAGTTAAAAGTTCCTTGACATTTTGCGAAAAAGAAGATAGATTACCTTCGAACGACTAACAATTAGAAGAAAACATATCATTCCTTACAAATATTCTATTAGTATTATCCATAATTTCAGTTTTCGAAATTCATATCTATGGAAAAAATGGCGCCAAAGAAATTCGTATCTATGGAAAAAATGGCGCCAAAGAGTCCAGAATGACAACGTTCCACGCAAGAACGGTTAAAACGCAACAATCTATTCCGAAAGTAGAACAATTATCCTCCAAGCTTCCCGTTTCATCACTCCCGTACCCGGGACAATGGGAAATAAAGCAAAATCCAGTGCAACCGGGGCTGTCCGCAGAACCGACGATTAACCATTCACGACTTTTTCCTCAAATCCATCTAGCCGCGAGTGCCTGTGCAAGTTTCTCGGAAGGTGGTCAGTACGTTGTAAGACGGAGGATTGATTGCCTCCGAGGTTTCACGATGAAGCGGCGAGGAAGAAAGAGAGAGAGAGAGGATCGAAGAAGGACGAGCCGAAGCGGGAGAGACGGGAGAGAGAAGGAAGCGGGCGAGAGAAGGAGACGGAGGTAAAACGACGAAAGGGGGTGAGTCAAGGGTGAACCGTAAGGGCTGAGAATGCGGCCAAAGTACGTGAGCGGGGTGGGATGACTTGTGGTTGTGTGTCGCAAGATAGGGTTGCTATATACCACGTGCTCTGTCCCGCGTCCGTCGGTCCGTTTCTCGTCCGTTCCTAACCACTTCTCTCCTCATCCTCTTCCTTGAAGGTCCTTTCCAAGACTGCCCTAGAGGAGAGGATGGACGAGGCGGTGGTCGAGGGTGGGTTGCGGGGGGAGTGGAGGACCACCGCCGGGATGTTCTTGCACTTCGAACCGTTTAGTTGTGTGTGCACTACTCGGTGAAATTGTGTGTGAACCCGCACGTGGCTTCACCTACGGTGTCGCGGACAAGCGGACCCTGTGTGCGCCAAGAACCAAATGCTGGCCAAGGAATTACGTACTATCGCACGTACCTCGCCTTATTTATTTCGAATAAGAGCGTCGATCTCGATCTATCCAGGTGGCACCACCGTTGTTTCGAACGCGACTTCACGTTACAGATCTGTGTATATGTATGTGTGTGTGCGCACGCGCGCGTGTGTGGAATCGCGAAATTTTGTTTCGATCTAATAAAGCTTCGCGTGCCGACTTATGTAAATGGAACGGTTTGAAGCGTGCGCCGCTCCATGATCGAATGATTTAAGAGGATTCATGTGAAACCATTCTATATATCGGACGTGCATGTAGTAAAAATTTCGAAACTTTTCGTTTCCGTTATGAGATAAAGAGATTCTCTCGAAGTGTTTCGTATGTATAATTGATAAACGAAAATTAAGATATTTATCGTGATCTTATTATCGAATTCGAGGAAAAGTACATATATTGCAAAGTAAGTCCAGTTATAATTCTGATTTATACGAAATAAGTAGAGATAGAGAACTGTTTCATAATAAGATTCTCGCATGGGCTCGTGAACGAATGGAAGTTCACTTTACAGGATGACACCCGTTAAATGCCGTAGCTCGCTATAGGGACCCATCGGACAAGGCATGTAAGGAACTTGGATATACACGTACAAGGGGTTTGAGAACGTGTGTGCGAGCACACCCGCACGCATACCACGTTGCGCGAAATCTCACGACAAATACACACATGTGAGAAGCACAATAATTACTATAGGTAGTAAGGAGGAGGGGTACCCCGCGGGGTGGGTTGGCCAGCAATCGATATATACACACACGCATAGGGGACACGCGTACACACACATAGAGGTGGCGGTGTGAACACACGCGGGAGGCGAGCGCGCACACCGTTACACGGTTTACATAAGTGAAGTTCCTTGGCCACCACCCTCAGTCACCACCTCTTATATACCCCCCTCCCCCTTCCAGTCAAAGCCACCCTCTCTCTATCCTCCCACGCTACCCTGGCCCTCTTCCTCCTGCTTTCTGCCCAAGCGTTTCTAATTTGCATTCCCCTCCGTTTGCACTCCTCGCTCTTCTCTCGCTCCCTCCTCCACTTTCTCTCCTTCCGTCCTTCTCTCTCTCCTTATCTCTCTCCCCTCTTCCTCCCTCTAGCGCCACTCTCTCTCTTTCTTTCTCTCCCTCTCTCTCTTGCTCGATCCCCCGTTTCAACCACCTCCGCCTTCTTCTCATCCTACACCTTCAAGCCATCCACCCAACAACCCCGTTGTCCGTCTTGCGAGGTTTCACGCACACGCGTGTCTTTCGTCCGTGTAGCACGCATACGATGGGGAAGAGGGAGGGTGAGGGGGCGAGACAAAGAGACCACCCTTAACTTGGGGCCAGGGAGTAAGACGGCCACGGAGTGTGGGGGGAGTAAGGAGGATGGGGGATCGGTCCAGGGCTGCTGCAGTTAGGTTAGGGCTTGCCTGTACCTTCTTAATACCTTTCGTCGGGCTGGCTTGTATACCTATACGCTTTGGATCTTGATCGTTAAAGGTGGCGGGGCGGCGATCTGTCTCTTATATAACTTCCACGGACACCCTTGATCTGTTCTAATCATATTTTCCGTTGGAAAGATGCTTTTACCCACGGGACACGGGGGTTTTGATTAGTCTGCGGGAAACGAAGATTGTATCGATAATTCTATACCGATGCGTGATGCGTTTCAAATTTGATTCGATCGCGAAACGTTAACGCTTTGTAATTTTCATTCCAGTTGAAATGACCAAGTTTCGTTCGAAACTCGTTTCGAATTTACAACGTTTGTTTCTCCCTTCCTTCTTCTTCTTCTTCTTTTTTTTTATGCCAAGCCGTTCGTATTACGAATGTATTAGCCGGCAAGTTTAGTGGCAAAAGTTTGCTCTCACCGAGAAGACTCTGTCCTACTATATATAACGGATTCGATCCTTTCCTCCGACTCGAGATTTATGCTCGATGATAAATTAGACATGCCGGTAATTCGAATTATCGCGAAACAACTTGTTAGAATTTTTTCAAATCGAACTGTTGCTCCCGACGTATTTTGTTGACATTGCGATTTATACGCGAGAAATGCTTGGACGAACGTAAGGATAGAAATAAAATGACCGAAAAAAATTTTTCTCGAGAAGAAGTCTATAATCCCATTAACAAGACCAATAATTGACGCGTGTCCAAGTGGAAAAAGGAAAAAAAGAGAAAGGAGGATCCGGGCAGGAAGAGGATCTCTATCTAATTAAAGCAACCGATACGAAGCAACATCGACCGAAACTATGAAGCCTTGAACAATGGTAGCAATGGAGATAAAGAAGGGTCGTGGTGGGCATAATTCCAAAGTGTGTTAAGAGATCCGACTGACTGACGTATCTGTCAGGGATGGATGGCAGTAAGGGTTACGAGCATCACTCATCAGTAGCGGCCATATTGCCTGTACCCCCAACCCTTCGCGAGGAGCGCGAGCCCTGATAATTCCCCGACCCCCTTCTATCTCCCTTTCTTTTCTCTCCTTCCCGCCTTCGCTCGCCTGCTCACCCTTGGTGCCTTAGTCTTACCGGTTTCTTCTCCTTTTCTCCCTTCTTCTTCCAGCAACGCTTCTTCTTCTTATTTAAACCCCCAGCGCGCGGTGCCCGGGCTGCT